AGTTTAGACCTTTTATTGTCATGAATAGGTGTAGGAAGGAGGCGAAGAGTGTGTCCCGTCCCCCCCAAGACCTCCATATATAGGGAGAGAGGTGATATCCCCTCTCGCTGTAGAGTGCTTCTCTATAGCACCCATAATCGGAGGCAACCCTTTCAACTTTTCATTTTAGGTACAGAAGAAGATGCAGGGAAATAGTATTATGCGAGTTAAAATGAACTATAGGTTTTGAGTGGTATTATGAGTATTTATAAGATATGGGGAAGTTGGATGGGATTTATAAACGGGTAAGATAGGGGCATAGGAAAAGAGGAGGGACTGGAAGAGTGAAAAAAAATTGGTTGATGTAACAATAACCTCAGATGGATTTTTTTTCTTTGTTTCACGATTGTTAAAAATGGAAAATGAGGATATCGATAAGATGAATAATGAATTTATGTTTGTGTTTTGACTGATATACTCAATAAAAAATGTAAATTCAGGGGAAAAAAGAAAAAGCAGTTTCTGTCAGAGCTCTCTCAGCCCCACCTACCTCCCAGGGTGTCTGTTGTGGGGAGGGGAAGGGAAAGGAGTCTGTAAGCCGCCCTGAAACACCTTTGGGTAGTGAAGGGGGGGGGATAAATCCACTCTCCTCCTCCTCCTCCTCCTTCTTCTTCTTCTTCTTCTTCTTCTTCTTCTTCTTCTTCTTCTTCTTCTTCTTCTTCTGCATGTCAAGCAGATGCTTTGTCACTGAGCTATGGCCCTCTCCTTCATTACTACAGGGTTTTGAAGGATCCTTCTGCTGCATGGCAGAGATTGTTTAAAAGGCACTCCTTGGATGTCCTTCTCCCCCCCTCTCCAAAATTAATGTGAAAAAGACATAAAAATTCTGCATGGTACAAAAGAAACTAGCAAGCAGTGCCACAAAGAAGAAGAAGAGATTGGATTTACACCCCGCCCTGCACTACCCAAAAGAGTCTGAGACTGGTTTACAATCTCCTTTCCCTTCCCCTCCCCGCAACACACACCCTTTGAGGTAGGTGGGGCTGAGGGAGCTCTTTCGAGAACTGCTCCTGAGAGAACAGCTCTGAGAGAACTTGTCACTGACCCAAGGTCACACCAGCAGCTGCACGTGGAGGAGTGGAAATCAAACCCGGTTCTCCGAGATTTGAGTCCGCGCTCCTAACCACTACACCAAACTGGCTCAGTTTACAAAGCAAACTGCCTTTTTATTTTTCATTAAGAGGACAAATTTGATTCCCCCCCCCTTCTTCCAGATCCTCTTTGGAGCCTTGCCTACATCTTAGTCCCCAGCATTCCTGCCTTGCTCCTCCTGTTGGTCATCACAGCCATCTTCAGCTTCTGGCTCTGCGCAAGAAGGCAAGTGCGGCAAGATTATGTGAAGGGTGTGGGTTGAGGTTGGGCTGTCATGGGGAAGCGATAGGCCACAGAAAGTGTGTGTGTGTTTAAAACAAAAAGGGGAACGTGAATGATTGATGAACCAAGTCTGGAATGGGGAAAGTGATGGAAGGTGAGGGAAATCAATAGGAAGATATTGTGTGAATTAAATGAGTTTAATGAGTGGCTCAAGTGGTTAAGACGCTGAACTGCAGGCTGTGGAAGGTCGGTCGTTCAGCAGTTCGAGACCCGAGTGTGCCGCATGACGGAGTGAGCTCCCATCTCTAGTTCCAGCTCCTGCCAACCTAGCAGTTCGAAAGCAAGAAATTGCAAGTAGATAAATAGGGACCACTTCGGTGGGAAGGTAACAGCGTTCCGTGCGCCTCGGTGTTTAGTCATGCCGGCCACATGACGACGGAAACGTCTTCGGACAGCGCTGGCTCTTCGGTTTTGAAACGGAGATGAGCACCGCAACCCTAGAGTCGGATTCGACTGGCTTTCGAGCAAGGGAACCTTTACCTTTACTAATGAGATCTTTCTGTTCAGAGGGCACTTGCTAAGGCAGGGTACAGGCCTTTTGAGTCAGTGGGCACCTTTGGAATTCCAACATAGTGTGGTGGGTGTGGCCAAGAAATGGCCACCACAAAATGGCTGCCACAGCTTACCTTCAGTCACACAGTGTTAGCCAAATGGCCCCTTAGCCTGATATCCCAATGCCCAATGATGAACACAGCCAGTGAGACCCCAGAAGCAGACACTATTTCAATAAAGGGGAACTTGGCAGTAAAACCCAAGGACTCTGTTAGTAAGGTATCAGCATTAACTTTTTATACAACTTTTAGACATGCACAGTAACTATACAGTTATCATCAGTGTAACTGCACTGTTGATGTGCTATTGATTTTCCATGATATTTTGCATGTATTATTACTGATTTTTGTCTATTATTGGGAAATTTATAAAAATAAACTTTAGGCATGCACAGATGTCCTTAGATTACAGAGGTTATACTTCCCTTATTTCTACATAAGTACATTTGCCAAGCATGTATATCTCTTTGCCCTTACTTGGAATACTTACGGTTCTCGATAAATCTTGCAACCTCGCAAAACGGTTCCCTTTTCTCGGCCAACAGCTTTGCTTATTCAGCTGTGTCTAGACACCTCGCCCTCTTAACCCAGTTCACCGCATCCTGTTCTGTACTTTGACTAGATTCAGCTTGTCGAAGTGCACACAGCAATGTTTAAGATCTAAAATGGAGTTACTCTTGCCAGCTTCCCTGTCAGCCGTGGAGATCCTGGTGCTGTGGTGGCAGTTGGTGCCAAAGCCAGTTTGGTGTAGTGGTTAAGTGCGCGGACTCTAATCTGGGAGAACCGGGTTTGATTCCCCACTCCTCCACTTGCAGCTGGCTGGATGACCTTGGGCAAGCCACAGTTCTGTCAGAGCTGTTCTTGAAAAAGAGCAGTTTCTGTCAGAGCTCTCTCAGCCCCACTAACTTCACAGGGTGTCTGTTGTGGGGAGGTGAAAGGAAAGGAGATTGTAAGCCGCTCTGAGACACCTTTGGGTAGTGAAGGGCGGGGTATAAATCCAATCTCCTCCTCCTCTTCTTCTTCTTCTTCAAATCTGCACAGCCAATCAGAGCTCCAGTGGCCAATGGTGGCCTTGCTGGGAAGAGCCCTACCTGTTCTAGTCCACTTTCTAAAAACACTTGCTGGGTGCCTACAGGCACCTCGTTGGGAACTATGATGCTAAGATATACATTCTTCCCATGCCATGTTCAGTTTGAGGCCCCACAATTTAAGAACGATGTTGACAAGCTGGAACATGTCCAGAGGAGGACAACGAAGAGGGTGAGGGGTCTGGAGGCCAAGTCCTGTGAGGAAAGGCTGAAGGAGCTGGGTGTGTTTAGCCTGGAGAGGAGATGACAGAGAGGGGATACGAGAACCCTCTTCAAGTACTTGAAGGGCTGTCATCTAGGCGATGGGGTGCAGTTGTTTTCTGTTGCCCCAGAAGGTCGGACCAGAACCAACGGGTTGAAATTAAATGAGAAGAGTTTTCGGCTAAACATTAGGAAGAACTTCCTGGCAATTAGAGTGGTCCCTCAGTGGAACAAGCTTCTTTATCATGTGTCTGGGTAAAATTAATAGCAGTTGCCTCTTAGGGTTGCCAGGTCCCCCCTGGCCACCGGTGGGGGTTGGCGGCAGGCCCGTAGCTAACGCGGGGCCCGCGGGGCCCGCCCCCCTAGCAGTTTTTATGGGCCCCCTTCCTGAGCCTTGGCTCCCCTACCCCAACTCCCCCTGATTGCCGGTCAGCCTGTTGGCAGGGAGGACAAGGGCCTTTTCTTGTTTTAAAAATAACAAACTTTGGGATTCCTTACACTTTGATTTGTGTGTGGAGGGCAGTGTTCCCTGTAAGCTGAGTGAGTGTGAGCTAGCTCACAATTTTTTAGCCTCCAGCTCACACATTTTTGTCTCAGCTCAGATGGCTCCAGAGCAAACGGATTTATGCAGCAGCCCAATCGCTCGCTCACAACTTTATTGCCAGTCGCTCACAAAGTAGAATTTTTGCTCAGAAGACTCCACAGCTGAGAGGGAGCATTGGTGGAGGGGAAGGTATTTGTGAATTTCCTGCATGGTGGCAGGGGGTTGGACTAGATGATCCTGGAGGTCCCTTTTAACTCTATGACTCTGTGATTCATACAAGACAGGCCCTCAGGCACAGTACATGAAGATTAGCAGGCTGGTATGTAAATCTTGACAAGAAGGGGTTACCCTGGAGATCCCTTCCAACTCTATGACTATGTGTGATTCATACAAGACAGGCTCTCAGGCACAGTACATGAAGATTAGCAGGGTGGTATGTAAATCTTGACAAGAAGGGGTTGCCGTGTCTTAAACTCACACTGGAATAATCCAGCACATGTTCTGCTACCCATTTCTCCACTTCAGCCTGTTGCTTCAGAACTCCATGCGAAAAGACTCCCCACTCCCCATTATTCACATCACGTACTGAATTTTGATTCAGGTGCGTGCAAATCATTTTAACCGTACCCACAAAAGTCCACTGTTCTACACACAGGGGCCGTTTCGTAGAAAAAGAGGTGCAGGAGAGGAGCTCATTAGCATAACTTATTTGCATATGCCACACCCCCTGACATCACTGGAAGTGTGTCAGAAGGCAACACCCACCGCTCAGGCTCCACTGGACTGTTTTGGATTGCTAGCTATTGGGGGTGGGGAGGAAGGTGCAGATCTGTCCTCGCAGAGGAGGGAGAGCTTGTACCTGAATAAAACTTGGTCTTAAAGGTGCCACTGGACTATTTGGGGCTGGGGGGGGCTCTGCAACTTACTTGGCTGCTTCTTGCTTTGACTGAGAGCTGCTGGGAGCAGGGGGTGGGGTTTGTTGCATGTGCCCGCCCCCTGGGCTCTTTACTGCCGGAGCTCCGCTTCTCTGCGCTCCTGCAGGAAATGACCCCTGCATACACATACGAAGTTCCGATCACATGAATTATACCTGTACTAGTATTTGGGGGGTGAGCACGGAGTCCTTGTGGTTGAAGAAAGGCATTTGTTTCTCCATAATGTGTGAAGCAGCCCTTGGAATCAGCCTTGAGGTCTCAGGTGCTGTGTGGTATGTTAAAAGCAGCCAGGAATGCATCACACCTGTCCATGCACTTCAGCACTTTGGCCAGCTCCCAGTTCCTGTTCTGCCAAGATTCCTGCCCATTGTCAGGGCTTGGTGTCTTTCCTCTCCTTGGTTTGGCAAGTTCTGTTTTTGGACAAAGGCAAGGAAGTGGAGTTTCCAGCTCCCCCCCCCCCTTTCCTGCTTCTGCTGAATTCAAACTGAATATTGCCCTGGCATAATACAGCAAATAAGGCAGGTCATACTCATAGAATCACAGAGTTGGAAGGGGCCATGCAGGCCATCTCGTCCAGCCCCCTGCCCAATGCAGGACCAGCCTGAAGCATCCCTGACAAATATCCGTCCAGCCTCTTCTTGAAAGCTGCCAGTGAAGGGGAGCTCACCACCTCTCTAGGCAGCTGATTCCGCTGTTATAGAATCACAGAACCATACAGGCCATCTGGTCCAACCCCCTGCCCAACGCAGGACCAGCCTAGAGCATCCCTGACAAATATCTGTCCAGCCTTTTCTTGAAACCTGCCAGTGAAGGGGAGCTACCCACCTCCCCAGGCAGCTGATTCCACCTTTGAACCACTCTGACCATGAAAAAGTGTTTCCTAATATCCAGCCAATACCTTTCTGCATGTAACTTAAACCCGTTGCTTCAGGTCCTCTCCTCTGCTGCCAACTGGAACGGCTCCTCGCCCTCCTGCAAATGACAGCCCTTCAAATATTTAAAGAGAGCAATCATGTCCCCCCTCAATCTCCTCTTCTCCAAACTAAACATTCCCAAGGTCCTTAGCCTTTCCTCGTAGGGCTCAGTCTCCAGACCCCTGATCAATGCTCTCTCTAATCAGTGCTCCCTCTAAGCTGTGGAGTTTTGTGAGCAAGAATTCTACTTTGTGAGCTACTGGCATTAAAGTTGGGAGCAAGCGATTTGGCTACGGCATAAATGAGTGTGCTCTGGAGCCATCCTTCCTGAGCTAAGACAAAAATGTGTGAGCAGGAGGCTAAAAAACTGTGAGCTAGCTCACACTAACTCAGCTTAGAGAGAACACTGGTCATACTAGAAGATCTAGTCTAGAATACCAAAGATACAGTCTAGTATGCCAACGTACGTACTAGACTACTGCAACAGGCTCTCTGTGGGGCTCCTAAAAACGCGTTGGAAGCAGTGTTCCCTCTAAGCTGAGTTAGTGTGAGCTAGCTCAGTTTTTTAGCCTCCGGCTCACACGTTTTTGTCTTAGCTCAGGAACGATGGCTCTAGAGCAGTGGTGGCGAACCTATGGCACGTATGCCAGAGGTGGCACTCAGAGCCCTCTCTGTGGGCACGCGTGCCATCACCCCAGCCAGGCCCAGACCATCGTTAAAGTGTGGAATTCTCTGCCAAATAATTTTAAGTAAATGAAAGCCTTTGGGATTGCGTTCCTTACTTTGTTTGGATCATCTTAAGTTAATGTATGGGTTGTTTTTTCTAAAGTAAAACTTCAGTTGGCACTTTGCGATAAATAAGTGGGTTTTGGGTTGCAGTTTGGGCACTCGGTCTCTAAATGGTTTGCCATCTCTGCTGTAGGGTATTATAAATCCCCCCATTGCCCTCTAATGAACTTCTAAGATCTCAAAAAATGCCTGAATGATTTGGGAGGAGGGATCACGTGTTTTCTTTCTCTTAAAAGAAGGTTAGAAGCTGGCAAGTATTGCTGCCTTTCACCCCTAAAGTTGAAGTTCTCCAGTTTTCATTTGCAGCATATTCCTCTGTGTTCCCCATTCTCATATGTGTGTCAAAACCAGGGATATGTTACATGGCCTGCTGGAAGGTGCACACCCCAGGCAATTCCCACAAATAGTTATGACACCGGGCACGCTGGGGGCGGGGCCACGGCCATAGAAGGGAAAACTCTATGGTTTTCCCTTTTATGGTCATGGCCCCGCCCCCAGCATGCCCGATGTCATGACGTCACTTCCCTGTGACGTGCATGCGGCGTGCGCACACACCGGGAGCCACCCCAGAGTCCCCCGCCAGCAAGGTAAGTCAGACTTGGCAACCCTACTCCCATCTATTTGCTTTCTTTGTTTCTCTCTCTCTCTCTCTCTCTTTCTATTTCTTTCCACCTCTTTCATTCTCTCTCTCTCTCTCTCTCTCTCTCTCTCTCTCTCTCTCT